CGCGCCTAGACTGACGTCGTTGCAGATATACTCGAACGGGCAGATGTATGTTGGCGATCGCACGACCATTGTTGGTTCGAGACCAGCTGCATGGCAGTCTCCGAGGATATCGAAAGCCGTGTTTGCTGATCCTTTGATGAGGACGGACTGTATATGTTAGACTGTATGACTGTGGCGAAGCTTGTCCACCAACCTTGACGCCTTGTTCGACCAGTGCTCTTGCGTTTTTGTAATCCGACGAGTGGATGTTGATCCCTTTGTAGACCTCTGCACTTGCAATAGTGGGAACATACGGCTTTTGCGAGGAAACACCCGTGGCCTGGACTAGTTGCTTAGCAGTCACTGTAACCACTCCAGCAGGAATTTGCAGTTCAATCGTCCATTTCTTACTTGACCTATCGTAGACCGTCGACTGAATCGTTGTCGACGTAATGACGTTGAGATTAAATGACGCGACATACTGTGCCAGGTGATTGGCCAGTTCATCCTTGCTCAGACGGTGAAGGCCCCGGAGTTCCTCTGGGTAGCCTGTACGTGTTAGCTGTATCCCCGTCTCTATGGAGGCCCCGTTTAGCTCACTCATGTACGGCATGTCGCAGAATGAAGTTGGCACGTGAAACTTCATGTAGTCGTAGCGTTTGGCCCAGTTATCGCCAACACGGGCATTCCGTTCAGTCATGATACCCTCGACACCAAAGGTCTTGAGCCGAGCGGCGAGAGCTGCAGCACTACTGAACAGTTAGTCAGAGAAGAAGTTGGCACTGATTAATTGACTAACGCGTTGCCGCCACCAATAATGAAGACGTCGGTATCAATCTCTGTCATACCATTCAGGTTGCGACCGGGTGTTTGAAGTAGAGATTCGTCTTCTGGATGAACATCGAGGTTCTCAAGTTTGGTGCTCAGAATCCAGATCCTCCACTCAAGCTTGCCCTGGTCGCTCTCGACCGGGAGGAGTACGATTCTTGCACTGCATGAAGCTGCGGGCGATACCGTTCTAAACGACAACGCGACGTCAATGAATTGCTAGAGTAGAAAAAGGCAATGTTAGTCTTTTACTCAACAATAAAATTGATACTCTTCAAACCTACTAGTACCGGTGTCGCAGCGACGAAAACCGCACTCTCCATGTTCCATCTCATAGAGGGACCTCTCATCTTGTTCGTTTCCACCAGATTGGCGATTATAACCGAAGGAGTGTAAAAGGTTCGCAGATGATAAGTAAATGCCAATGCATCTTTCCAGTAGGCTTGATCAGCGAAGAAGCAGTCGTGAAGAGCTTGGACATCGTTTTCTCTCAGAGCATCGTGGAATGCCTTGACAACGACCGTGGCTTGGTCTGATGGATCGACGTCTGCAAAGGATATCTTTTCGACAATTTTCGGTGAAAGGACAGGGATAGGCCGTTCATCGAAGAGCTGAAGCAGACTTGCAGCTGGGGGGTAGGGCTCAGAAAAATTGTCTTTCAGGTCATCATCAGAGGGAGTGACTATCGGTGCAATTGACTTACTAGCTCCCATTTTCTGACAATACGAAGTTTGCAAAGTTGGCGAAATACTAATATGAAATGCGGGGATGCGTTCTATCAATAATGTGAGACTGGTCAAGCAGAGGGTATAAAAGTGGACGATTATACGCTATGGCCAGAGACGATGTAACGACGGGCAGCCTTATATCCATTCCAGTGCATGTTTGCTCACTCCCGGACCAACCAACCAATTCCTCATGCAGCTTGCATCAAACAGGTGACGCGTCTGCCTGCCCGGGGTCCGGGGTCCGGAACCAACAGAAGAAGTTGTCGAATCGCGATAGGGCTGGGGATATCAATGCTGTTGGTTGCCAACGGCTGGTGTAACACTGATGTGAAAGCCACCAACAAACATCCCCGCGATGTACCAATCAGCTATTTTGAGGCTGGGTCGAGAACTGCTATTTTTTTAAGCCTGGCTTACCATAAAGCATTATTTACCACAAGAATGATTTCGTGATGGCATTGTCCGGACGATATGGCTTGCAAAAGAGTTTTCATCGGACAAGGTGACGAGCATATTGGAACCCGATGTACCCTGCATGACCGCCCGACGAAGCACATCACAGCACCGTCTATTGGTGCATGTATATGCATATTCGGCTGTTTATCGGAGATTCGGTCCTCATGACTCCACAGAACTACTGAGGTACTGCATATGCAGCTTACAACTTGGTGCGCACCCATCTGTAAGTTCAGAGATACTATCTGGCCCCTTCATGCAGATTCTACGGGCGCCGCATCATTGACGACCATTCATGAGATATCATGACTGCTGTAGTGCAGCTCATACTCTGTTACATAATCTGACAAGCTCACTGTCTGGTATGACGAATCTTTCCGTATTTGGGTGGTGGAGACAAGGGAATGCCCGTTCATCTCTGGTGCTTCAAAATGATCCTGATCATCTGGCCATATCTGGAATATGATATCTTTCAAGACTTGGAGTGTCATCCCCATAATTCATTCAACCTGAGTTTCTAACATGCTTTCGACTTTGAAGGAGAGACTGACCACAAGGGCCTTGATGATGGCTACTATTTGTTGTGTCACGATATACAGGGAATTCTGATGTCTCTATAATTTCCCTCTGCGCTAACTATTTGTGAAATCTAATTGAACTGATACTAATATGCTTGCAACCAACTAGGAACATCTGGGTCTGTATCAGGCAACCCATATGAGCTCTCATCAATCAGCTCTGATATCTTGGCCTTCAACTCCTTATGCCTTTCTGCCATATCCCCTCCCCCACGAGCCAAAGCAACAAAGTCCATAATACTCTGACAATCCTCCCAGATCCTTGCCCTGTTTCTAATCCCTAGCAACGGGCTCGTCGTAGGGCTGAACAGAAGCCATACTCGCCTCCAATTCATATCATGTCGCTCGCCTTTTCCACGTATCCAAGCCTCCACGTGTCTGCGAAAGCTGTGCCAATCCTTAAGTAAGGCCTTTAGCTTTTCATGATACGTTGCAATAATTTCCCCCCGGCGCTGACGGTTAGCGGCCTTGGTCACATTACGGGCTTGTTCCATCTCAGGCTCCTCAGAGAGAATTAGTGCCCATCGATCTTCCTCTTCTTCTTCAGGCTCTAAGCCGATGGGGAGTGTTGGCGGCGGTATACCCAAAGGACAAAGAGGATCCCATGTCGGTAGGCAGTCACGAGATGCAGGATATTCATTATTCTCAAGAACCTCCCAAAGCCAAGGCATGTCTTTCAGTACACTTTCTCTGAATACTGGCTGCACAAGAGTGAATATCGCCCTGCATGTCTTGGCCGCGTTGTCGACGTCAGTTATGTCAAGATACGACAGAGTATGTTGAATAACCTCAGAGGGCAGGGCCAAGAACCCTGTCGTGTGCTGGTTGTGCCTCCTGATTTCCAGGTCTTCCATGCATGACTCCAATACTCGAGATATACCGGGGATCTCAACAGGGTTTGCGACAAGCCACTCATCGCCGGGAATATGGAGCCAAGGGAAGTCCCACTGCGTGCGGGCTCGTTGCAGTTCTACCAAGTGTGTCTGTTTCCGTATACGTTCTGGAATACGATCTTCAAGGCCGTATGAAGCTGGCATGTTTCGCATCTCACGCCAGTGCCACAATCCATTCAAATCAACATATCCCAGGCGGCGCATTGAGGTTTTCGCATATATATCGAGACAATATGAATGTACTGGAAGTGGTACCAGCAACTCTTCAAGCTCCTGGCCTACCTGTTAGCAACTATTACCACCAAAGCCCATCAAATAAGCTTACCATGCAACCTTCGCTAACATACACCCAGCTTGTGCTTATTTCCTTCAATCCATGTCGTGGTGGATAAAACGAATGAGTTCCTCTGAAATTTCGACTCTCAATCATATTTGAGCCGTTTGACTCTCCAGATACGTAGAACAGATTATCACGGCTTGCCTCGAGAAGTTGATCGCTGGAATCAGCTTTCCAGCTTGACGACTTGGGGACGAGATATCGAATATTTCGACAGTTCTTCATTTGTGCAACGCTGAGGACATGGCCGTTGATACCTTGCAGACTTTGACATGAGGGTGATGCGATGTGTTCTGGGGGGACATTCGAATGGTCGGGGCTTAATAGAGACCATTTCTGCGAATGTTGGCGATCACCTGTGTAGTAGGCTAGAGTGTTGTGCCATGTGCCGTGCGGTAAACGATCAGGAAATGTGGTTTCATAAAGATCCGCAAGAGGGTACTCGTCAGGCGCAGCATTTGAATAGTCGCTGTCCTCCTCACCAGACATATATGAGACATCAGGTTCGATACCGTCGCTCTCAGTCTCCCATCCGGAATCATACTCCAGAGGCTCTTCATCACTGAAAATCTGTGCATCTGGCGTCCAATCTGGGTCGTCCTCATCATCCTGGTCCGGCCATGCGTTAATTTCTGGAGGTCTAGTTGGGCCCCGATCCTCTGTTGCGCATTGTGGACTATCTCTGTCCTCAAACTCATCTTGATGCGGCCATTTACGGAAGCCGACGTAATCGGCACCCTCCAAGTTCCAGGCTGCGCTAAGTGGCTCATCTGGAGTGCGGATGCGGGCGGTGGCCATGTCGACGCCGCAGATTTGACAGCTGAAGGAGTACATGGTATAGTTGGATATTGAATGTAAACTACTGATCAAGAACAAAGTACGGAGGTGCTGGCTCTGTTGGGCAGTAGATGGTGATGTTGAAATGTGATGGTGTAAAATTTAGGAGTCTCCGAGAAGCGAGATTGGTGGGTTAGTGGCCTGGCCGTATGGGTCTAATCTTAAACAAGTCAAGTTGTTTGTTCATGATCCCTGTGCTTGTGACAGCGAGTTAACCTATACTGAATTGCTATACGAAGAGTACTCGCAAGACACGTTACTCGAGTAGTACTATATAATATATATTCATGGAAATCAGTATGATAGTTCTATTTATAGCAATCAAAAAATTGTTGAGAAAACAAGGCTATATGGGTAAAACAGCTCAGTGCTTCCTAGCTGTAAGTACAACATCAAGCCGAGGCGCATCTAGTGTAAAATGGTCTTTCAGACCCTTAAGAAACACCGACTTGCTTGTAGTCCCCTCACCAGAAAGGTAGATGTCAAAGCGATGTAAGATCATACAAGCAGCATAGCCAACTTCCATAAGACCTAATTGCTTACCCACACATGCATAACGACCTGAATAATGCTATTAGCCTCAAGGATCAAAGAAATATTATTTTGTGGATGGTCAAGACCTACCAACTGAGAATGGTGCAAATACTGAATCGTTCTTCACCATCTCTGGTCTTGTCGTCCAGCGCTCTGGGACGAAGTCGTCAGGAGCGGTGAAGTACCGTTCATCTATTAGCCAGGTTAATTTGACAAGGTACATCGAACGGTAGTTTACTCATCATATGGTGCTGCATACCTCGATATAGTGTATAGGATGGAACAGTCACTATGGTATCCCCGGGAATGAAGATGTCACCGACTCGTAGCCCTTCTGGAGGTGTCATACGCTGCAATCCAGAGGGCACTGGAGGAAAGAGTCGCAGTGTCTCGTCAATACAAGCTTGGAGGTATGTCAACTTGGCAAAGCTCGAGTGATTAAGGTGTGAAGAGCTGGAAAACAAGTTGTCAATCTCCTCTTGTAGCTTCTTGCACTCATCTTTGTTGGTAGCCAACAAGTAAAACAGGCAAGTAAGTGTTACAGAAGTGGTATCGCTGGATATAAGATTAGCCAACAGGCTCTGCCACGTGAAGAGCATCACCTCACCTTCCAGCAACGGCTATAAGCTGCATGTCAGCTTGCAAGTTTAACCAGTCTTGCTCTTTGGGATATAACTGGGTTTTATAATCTTCAAGGAGCCACGAGAAAATATTCGGAAGGTCTGGCTTGTTCTACATCATCACATTAGCCTTTGCCCCAAAGGCTAAACATTGTCGTGACATACCTGTTCTTGATGGCGAACTTGAGTCTCCAGCCACTTCTGGAAGATAGCATCTTCCCGACCAAGAAAAGGCATTGCCCTGAACAGGGGAAACATCCATATCAGTTGACTGAGGGTCCCCGCCATTGCCATGTGCGACTCAACAAGTGCCATGAACGGATGCTTAACGCCACCTGTTAGCATGTTGAAGCTCTGACCAAAGGCTAGGTCACCCATGGTATCGAAGCTGTAGAACTTGAACCACTTTGCAATGTCGACAGGCATATCTTGGGTATCTTCTAATCGATCGAGTAGCTGGCCGGTATATTTGACCACGCGGGGCTCGTAATTACGGAGAGCTATGGGAAGTAGTCAGCCTTCTTTAATCTTGATGTTGGCTTTTCGAAAAATACCCTTTGAGCTAAACGCCCTGTCCCAGGCTCGTCGCCTACGGGAATGCTCGTTCTTGTCCCGCGACATGTGGAGAGAGATGGCCGGCTGTTCGATATTGTACCAGGGTCCCTTACTGCAGGGCGAACTGTTCGAATGTATTGCATGGAAGACCTTGGCATCGAGGATCGATAGTGCCGAGGGTCCTATACAACATTAGGTTAGCACCATTGTTAGGTGGCGAGGACGTTGCTACTTGCCCACGCGCACAATATCCCCATATTTCCTATGAAGATCCTGAATCTCTCGGTAGAGTTGAAAGCTAGCAACGGAACGCTTGGTGAGATAAAGGTTGGAGACTCTGGCCATGAAAGGACCCGGAAACTTGTACAGGCGGTGAAAAAAGCTGATACGGTAAAGGAGTATGTTGGAGAAGGTCCCTGAGAGCATAAAAGAAACCATATATATGGATGCTGTGATGGATTCCAAGAAGCTGTACGGAGTTCCAGCCTCAGTAGCTCCCAGCCTCTTGAAGCTCAGTGCTAGGAGACTAAAGACTATGAGAAGTCCTTGTAGTATCTTGATAGTGTAAAGATCCCATTCCCCCTTTCGAAACATTAGAACGTGGGCAAATGTTCCGGACAATAACCCCGTTCCGATGGCCAATGAAGTGGGATACATTTTCAGGGCAGTATGAGATCGCAAACAACGTCGGAAAGGCTTGGGATAAGACCAACGGGGAAATTATAGAAGACTTTTTGGATTCCGGAATCATAGGATTCCGATAGATAAGAGCACTGACTGTGCGATCAAGCAGTCCTTTCCGGTGGGTTCATCAGTATTTCGAAAAGTAGGCCTGTTCCTTGGGAGATGGCAGAAGTGCAGAATAGATGAGAGACCCGAGCACACTGGTCTGACGTCTAGGGTATTACTACTCAGGGCGGCTGATTCGTCCCCCGTAGGAACAAATCGGGAGCTAGTCTGATGCGATGGTATAGATCGGGCTAGATCTGCCTTCTGTAAGCGAGGAACGAGCTGGTGAAACAAAGCAACAGGGATGAAATCAAGACTGGTGACGGAATTCATCTGACATAGCATGATATCAAGGAACTTCGGCATTTTAAGTTCATATTTCCAAGTTGACCTGCCTCTTACTCTTGGTTACTCCAGTGTCACTTCACGTCATTACAACCTACCAATTTCCTGGTCTCGAATCCATGTCAGAGAACTTAATGTTTAGACGTAAGAGGTATAGAGAGTGAATAAGAGCAAATCATATTGGAACTTGACCAACTCATCCTCATGCCTTCATCAAAGAGACGTGGCATCCATAGGCTCAAGTTGCCCTCAGACGATATACAAATAACGGCAGTTGAGCACGGAAGCCCATTCCGATCGATATACCGACACTGACATGCATTGCTATCAAGACCCCTGTCCATCTTTTCTCTGATCGACCTCGTCAAATCTTAATTGCGAATACCCCTGTTAGCCAGCTTATGAAGCCGTGACAAACTTTCCCTATTCGGTGTTATGCATATGATGGTTTACGGAAGTACTCCGTGCTTACCCCGGAATGCTGTGACAAGAAGAGTATCTGTATTTCCTATCGGGTCTCGGACCGGAACGAGAGTATCGGTACGAACTTCATCATGAGCGTTTTCACTTCTGCAAGAGATGCGCTATTAACCAGACTGTATGAACTAGGCGTAGACTATTTAAACATAAAGGAAATCTGTTTTGCTTCTTTCGTGGTCTGCTTATCAGCTCACCACCCAGCATTTTCCTATCATCGTTTGAGTTTTGCAGTCATGCAATCCAATCAAAAGCTCTGCATCGCTATCTTTGGCCCTACCGCCTCGGGGAAGACCAAACTGGGGGTCGCCATTGCAAAAGCCTTTCCGAGCGAGGTTATCTCCGTCGACAGTCTACAGTGCTACAAAGCGGGAAGCATTATCACAGCTAAACCTACTGCTCATGAGATAGCTGATGTTCCTCATCATCTGATTGACTACCTCGAGGCTAATGAGGAGCCCAATGACTTTGTGGCCCAAGCTGCTGACAAGATGGAAGATATCACAAATCGAGGAAAACTCCCCATTCTTGTCGGCGGTTCGACTTCTCTCGCGATACCTTTGCTGCACGAGGCACTGAAGCGGCAGTATCGGTTCGTGGCTGCAACTCTGATCCCGCGTCAGTCAACATACTGGCAGTCCATCCAAGTTAGAGCCAGCGAGATGCTCGAGAGGGGTCTTCTGGCCGAACTAGAGGAGTTGAGAGACCTGCAGCAGAGTCTCCTCGATGATAACGCATGCTTCCACAAGGGAGTATGGAAGGCCATTGGGTATCAAGAGTTCTATCCCTTTCTCGAGGCAGACTCGTCATGCAACGCCCGTCAGTCGTCATTCCAGAGGGGTCTCGCACTGATGAATGCAAACACTCTGCAGTACGGCTTCCATCAACTCGAGTGGATTCGTTCTATCCTGAACCCTTTTCTGCACCAAGCCGGCGTCGTATGCATGAGCCTCCCTGTCACTAACAAGGCTTCGTGGATGTCAGATGTCGAGATACCTGCTATCTCAATGCTCAACGACCTGTGCTACAGTTTGCGAACGATCAAAGTCTCCACCAACGGAACACTGAACTCTAGCCCCAAGTCTCGAGTCGTTGGTCTATTGTAGATCTCCCTTCTCTCCTACTTACTAACATTAAGCTAACCTGCGCTAGTGGCGGATCTTCTCCGGGGAATGATCCGGGTCACATCGATGCGGCTAAAAGGCTTGCGTTTGCTCTACACCAACATAGCTACAAGCTCGTCTACGGCGGCGGAACAACTGGGATCATGGGCGCCATTGCCAGCACTCTCGTGCAACTCTCGGGACCAAGTGCCGTCCAGGGCATCATTCCCGTTGCACTCGCCAAGTACGAAGAAAGACTCACCAAGAAAAGGGCCGACCCTTCAAAGTTCGGGAACAGGACTGTCGTCAAAGACATGCATACACGCAAGAGACTCATGATCGAGGCAGTCATTGGTGGCGCTCCAGGGAGTGGCTTTGTAGCTCTCAGTGGGGGATACGGTACCTTGGAGGAACTCCTCGAGACAACGACTTGGTACCAGCTTGGTATTCATCAATGTGGAATCTGTGTGTTTGACGTATGCGGATTTTACAAGGGTTTAATGGACTGGGTTCGTCAAGCTGCACAGGCAGGGTTTGTTGGCACAGAGGATGCTACTATTCTGCGGGTTGCAACGACGGCTGAGGATGTCATCGGCTGCCTAGGCAGTAGTGATCATCGTTATTCGCGGATGGGTGAGCTGGAATGGGATTAGTCACTACCTGATTGGGACAGATGAGTGCCGAAAGCACAGCGTTACATGACATGGCAGCATTACGATATATCATTTTCACCTATCACACTGCGTGTATTCCAAAACATTCTAGAGCTTGATGTACTTGAATGAAACAAACCGGCAGAATAAGAACAAATATCAGGCCTTCGCTGCAAGCTTTCACATGGCGACGTGGTCGAGGATCAAACGCCGCTTCCCATAGCCGCTCTCGAAGTGCCGGAACGAGCCAATTAAACCCCTGCCGCTGACAACCCGCATTGAAAGCTACTCACACCAGAAGGGCCTCATAATCGGCGAGGTTCCATTCCCAAGGTGAACCATGTCAAATTCTGTTACCACCTCGACCAATCCGTTATAACCGTGATTTTTATTGCAGATTATCATAAGTTTTTGAGTTTATCGGATATAGGGACCGTGACCTAAACACGGAAAAACTTATGTCGCAGCAGGCTTGATCTACACGTAGGGATTGCTGATTGATCTGAAGTGAAGCCCGGCAGTGGGTAGCGAACGTGCTTTAATGACAAGATCAAATGGTCAAGATACGGGAAGAAGGGATCGAGTCGGTTGAGCCCACACTGGAAGCAGAGAAGAGGTGGACCGAGGAACTTTGTCGTACACATAGCAACAGTATGACGGATCTAATATTCCTGGCAAGAGGGTTGAGCCCTCGGCCTTTATGGATGGTTTCCCTTTGTATCGAAGGACTTGCTACAGTGCTCTTGAAGATAACTTTCAAGGTTTCAAAGTTCAGTATAGATAGGAGACAAGTACGCTTGTAATGTATCTCTCCTTTTTATACTTTACTCGAATTAAAAAGATAAGGGCGGATTGATTAGTGAAGATTTCTGTATCAAGTAGGACTATTCACAGTTTACTCTTACCCTGGCCAGTAACCTTGATTAAGGCCAGTCCATTACTCAAAACAACCTTGCCACCGGCGACTTGCGTAGCAAATCTCACCTCGGACCAACCGTCCTGGTTGACTCCCATAACCCACGCCTGCGTAACCAGTTTGTCGCCTGGCCTCACGGGACTGGCAAACCTCGCCTGATACTCCTTAATGTTGGCAGGGTCCCCACCACCCAGCTCCTTCAAGAGCGCATGAGCCGTCGAGTTCCACGAATACAGCCCATGCATAATTGTTCCTCCGAAACCCATCTTCTTCCCAGGCTCAGGATCAGCATGCAACGGGTTGTAGTCACCATTCAGCCTGTACAACATCGCCGACTCAGCACTAGTCTGCACCTCAATCGTAGCATCAGGGGCCTTGTCTTTCGGTGGAGGATAGTTCTCCGTCGCTGGACCCTTGGGGCCTCCCCAATTGCCCTGGCCGATGAAGAAGCCGCTGCTGGTAATGCGGGCGTGCACCTCACCAGAATCTACGTCGACAAGGTCAGTCTGCGTCTCGAGGACAGTGCCAGGGCGACCCTTGTCGTAGACGCCGACGACCTTCTGGCGGGTTTCGAAATTGCGGCCGGCAGAAGTAGTTGGTAGAGGCTTTAGGAATTCAATCTTCCGCTGGCCGTCAACAACGCGTGTGTAGTCGAGCTTGGGGACACCGGGGATTTGAACAGCTTTGCTTTCCTTGTAGTAGTCGACTACTTCCTGAGAATCCTTCTTGAAGGCTGTTGATGGGTTAATGATTGCGGGGTAGGGTTGAAGGAGCGGGACTTACGAAGGATGACGGGGTAAGTAGGGAATACGGCGAATTTCGGATGAAACTCCTGTATCTTGTCAGTACGAGTTCAGAATTTCTGAACAGGATCACAACGAACGTAGAGGAAGTGCAGCTCATCAACGGTAGCGCCGATGGTGTTGGCGAAGAGGAGGACATCGCGCTGCAGCCACGTCACCTTAACAGGCGGGTACTCAAAGCCAACGCCGGGACCTGACATGATGAGTTATTTTGGGGTTATGTATGTGAGTGTGTGGAAGAATGATTGAGAAGTGAATAAAGAGGAGAGGTGGAACTATATCTTAAAGTGAAATCAACCGAGGTTTGCGGGGTGTGGGGAAGGGGGCCCAGTGTTAATACCCCGGACTTGATTGGTGGCCGAGTAAAACAAACCGAGGCTTGCAGGGTAGAGGGACAGATATTCTAACCAACAAGCTACTGGAAAAAAGGATTAAGTAGAGTTTATATCCGCTTTTTTTATTAAGGAAAGGAAAAATATAATTACTATATATTCATTACTTATATAATATACAAGTATATTTCTTGCCTTACTTAATTTTTTTATTTTATATAATGTAAATAATATTAAATTCTTTAAAAAAAAAGAAAAAGACAACACAATCTATAGCCTGATGTAGTTGATGTAGTTATGACGGTAGGTTCTTAGTTCATTTTGCAAAAGAGCCTTCTAATGCAGTTCTGCAGTTACTCAAACATAAGCTGATAAGTTAAGGAGGTATGACTATCGATAAGCAGATTAGCATAACGTTGCGACTTGACGGCTGACATATGCTGTGATACGACAATTAGTCAGGCATATCGTATCACATCACGTAATCCTCAACCTGGAACTGTACTTATATGCAGACCAAGAACTCAGTGCCTCTATCAACAACACAGCATTTCGGTACTAGACACATCATGACCACTACAAAAGCTCTCGTTAATATTCGCCCGGGCCATGCTGAAGTTCAGGACATTCCTGTGCCAGCACTTGAGCCAGGTTATATCAGAGTCAAACCCACCGCATGGGCTATCAACCCAGACGATGCTTACCACCTTGGCCTAGAAGGTGATGAGAGCTGTGCCGGTGCTGTTGTTGGAACAGACTATGCAGGTGTTGTTGTAGAAGTTGGACCTGGAGTGGAGAGGGACTTTAAAGTTGGGGATCGCATTGCTGGTGGTGTCGTCGGGCAGTATGCAAAGCCTTTGTGATATTGGTGTATGGCCTATATTGACATCTTTTAGGAATATTCTGCGGAAGCATGATGGTGCTTTTGCGCACTTGATTCACGTCAAGGGGGATATTCAGATGAAGATCCCGGATAACATGAGTGACCAAGATGCTGCCACTCAGGGTGTTGCACTCGTCACTATGGTACACTGGGTCTCTACATGTTGATGGCTAATGCTAATGATAGTTTTGACAGGGCGTTGGCTTATACCAGCATTTGCATCTTCCTCTTCCAGATGGCCCGTCAAAGGAGCCTTTTCCTGTCTTCATCTATGGTGGCAGTACAGCCATGGGGATATCAGCAATCCAATTTGCAAAGCTTGCTGGCGCCACGGTGATTACAACTTCGTCACCCAGTAACGCGGATTATGTCAAGTCTCTGGGTGCCTATCACGTCCTTGACTACAAGTCCGAAACTCTCGTCGACGACATACTCAGACTATCAGGCGGTCCTCTCCTCCACATCTTCGACACCCATCCCAACACTATCAGCATCACCACCTCCGCAGCAATTCTCCAAAAGTCGCCTTCCGCGATCTACATCTCCCTCAACCCCGGGCCTGAACACGAAGTAAAACGCCTCAGTCCTGACGTGACCGCCGAATCTATCCTCGCATACTCAGCCACGGGTAATCCGTGGATGTACGAGAATAAGTATTACGAGGCTGTACCAGCAGACTTTGCATTCCAGAAGAAGTTTGTCAAGTTGGCTGAGAAGTTCCTCGAAGAGGGGCTGATCAAGCCGCCGCGTGTCTTTCTAAATCGAGGAGGGAGTGGATTGAAGGGCATTTTGAAGGGACTGGTCGACATGAGGGAGGGCAGGGTAAGTGGCGGGAAGCTTGTGTATACACGGGAGTGAGGATTATTAATCTTTGAGTTTTGAGTGTTGATCTTTGGCGATCTCGATAGCATTGACGTAAATTGAGTTAACGGATTAGATAGTAAGGATTACTAGTGGCTAGCGCTTCTACTAAAAGGCCAATCCTGCCGTTGAGCTCGTTATGCTGCTTGGACGATGATAATCGTGAATCTGAGCAGGTGAAGTCGCAACCGTCGTCTCAACTGTTGTCACGATCCCACTTTGACTCATACTCATGCGCTCTTTAAGTTCCATCTCAATGGAGCTATCGCGGTCGCCAGCCTCGCTATGGGTTGTGTTGGTTCCGACCAAGGTTCCATGGACACCTGAATGGGAACGGGTGACCGACGGCTTGGTTATGGTATTTGTTGCCATGCTTCTTACATAGTTGGCACTGGACTGGTGGTAGTTGTCTTTGCCTTTTGCGCCTCGCGCGCTCTATAACGGATAGAGTCGAACAGAGGGGAGACCAAAGACAATTAGAATAATTATACGTGAAAAGTAAAATAAACAAAGTAAGATGTAAATAGCTTCACGTACTAATTCCAAACAAACTCCATTTGGCAATAGCGTGAAGGGCCCCGTGGCTATTTCTCTTACACTAATTGGTCCACTTGGGCGAGCCCTTGAACGTCCCGACTTCCAGCAGCTCGACAGGCGTTGAGTAAGGAAAACATCATTGCTTTATTCCATGATTGGTGACTTATAATCTCTAGGGCCTTCATGTTTTGCTTGTCTGTTATGGTTTGTGCATGTTGCTGCATCGCTGGCAGGATGGACAGCTCGCTCGCTTTCTTCTGTCGGAACTACGGTCTACGCCTCGTTTCTGAGAAGAATGCGCACTCGAAAGTCAAGTACGACGAATCAGATTTGGTGGTAGTGAGCGACAAGACGGGTGCCAAAACGGCTAAGAGTCCCGTTGGCGTCCCGGGTGACATGAACAAAGCTTGGGTCGTAAATCCCCAGAAGCGCTTCACCGATCTAAAACCAAAGCGAAAGTTTGGAATTGAAAAGGGCCGGTATAATATTCCTTTTTCGTTTACCAGCCTCGCACCCGAATTTTCAACCAACTACACTATAGAAACACCAGGAATGGCTGTTCCTCAACCCAGAGACAAAAAAGAGAACCAATACCTCCAATCAAGCTCTTGTAGTTGGAATCGGCATCAATCAGGCCCTCATTTTCAAGTTCTCATGCGATCTCCTAGCTTATCAACGGAGATCGCGCAGATCCATCTCCGCGCCAATACAATCTGGGATGCGGATATCAAGGTTCTAAACCGCGAAGTCACATCGCACAGATCATGGAGCACTTACAAGATGGAGGCAGAGGAAGAACTTGCTTGGGATCTCTATGGTGCTGGGACTTTATGGCATAGCTCACAAGGCGTGCTACTGTGGCAAATGCGCAAGATTTCATCAGACAGCGATGGTGCCAAGGGTCGCATACTGTGTCTCCTTGACCCTTACGATAGGCTGGTAGCGTTGGTATGGAAAACAAAGAAGCCTGGAAATGAAGGTGGAAAATGGTGGGAGATGCGTGTCTACATTGATATTGCTGACGATTTCTTGGGAGAGATCATTGCAAGTTATGTGGCTGTTAGGGTACAGACGGAAAGGATTCGACAGGAGCATGTGAATGACTCCAGCTGATTACACCAGACTTGTATCAATTTCACGATATTAACTTCTTAATTCATCATGGTTTCGAAAGACTGAACCGCAAAATATCTTAAACCTTGCTTCTGTTGAGAAAATGTGAAGTTGTAGGTTTATTGAGTAAATAGCCAAATAATTTGCAAGCCCATACAAGAAGTCCCTTTGAGAGACCTGTCTCTGCATATTGTAAATTATAATACATCCAATCTATGTAACTGAACTATAATGTCGTGCTGGACTCCCTCCGTACTGGAGAACTACCTTAGCTAAGGTAAATAGCAAAAGTCTAGCTTTAGCCACAAGGCTCGCTGGAAAGACATCACTCGCCCAACCCTCCACGCGTATCATGCGCCCACTACAATGACCAAAGAACGTAATACTCCATACAGTTTGGCCTATTCGGATAAAGGTAATTGACAGATCGGAGACAGAAACGGATCGTGGCGCTGAGACCAGCACTCAGTTGGGCGTGGCTTTAGGGTTCCCTCAGATCTACGTAAGGATTGTGGTCGACGGCTGAACTTTGACGGCTTTTAGCTTACCGGGGCCAAATTCTGATATTACGTATGTTGGCATCAAGGTAACTTTCTTATTGAGATCTTGGTGGTGGAATTGCTGGGGCATAAGACCGAGTTTAGCTGCGTGACAAGCCACAGAGCCAAAGGTTGGATGTTGACCATTCCAATGCTGCAGGGCTGCGAAATAGCGGAAATTTTCAATGCTGTCTGCTGGAGAACCGGGCAATTCTAAATTTCCAATTCTGAGCTTGTCATGCAGAATGTTTACCAAGACCACGGCTAGCACAAAGGCCAGGAGATTATGGATATAGCGCTAAATTATTATAACCAGGATCCATTTGCCCCGCTTGCAAGGCAGAGTCCCAACATCGTCAGCCAGGCTGACAACGTCTTACTCACCGTAATCACCAAAATGGCCTCACCAGAAGAAATCGCAGGCAAATGGCTCCTCAGCATCTGCAGTCGAAAGCCTTCTGCAGAAAGAGATGAACTCCTGACCCATCTCGAGAAAATAAAATTCGACGAATTCTTCACGCTTCATGGAACATCACCCGTTTTCAAGACGTACCATATCGAAGCCGTACGGAAGTGCCTCGCCAAAGAGCTGAGAGTGGATTATCCACTGGCGCGTGCGCTGCTGGAGAAAGATGACTTGGGGGACTTGTTCGTCGGGGAGAGGGATATATTGCAAGTTGCGATTAAGAGGGCAAAGATTGACCCAGGGTATCTGGGTGAGGACCCGAGGAAGTCGAATCCTGAGCTTTTGGGGATGGTCAAGTTGCTTATGGCTCATGGGGCAGCCGTGAATTGCTTGGATGATGAGGGGTACTCACCGCTTGTTTATACTTGTATGCTGGGTTACGAAGAGCTCTTTTGCTTCTTGATCAAGTCTGGAGCGGACATTTCTACACTCCAGCCACGCCGATCTCCAGAGCAGCTCGCCAAGATACGAAAGGCTGCTAAAAATGGAGAGACTGTGGAAGATGAGCCCAAGGAACAGGCAAACCTTCTTCAGGTCACCCTCGACGCTCTAATCTCACCGCAGGAGATTGTTGACATGACGTGGGTCGGTTGGCCTCCTGGTGTGAACTTTGACGTGCCCTTATGGGATCTTGACATCGAATATACCTGGGGAGGCATCATTATGTATTTGCTGAAGCAGGGTCTTTCATGTCCTAAAGATGATTCGGGGTTAGTCATGATGCTTCATATTGCTTGCCGCAAAGGAGCGCTGGACGTTGTAATGAAGTTACTGGCTTATAAGGCCGCTGCTGATGCCGCTGGACCAAGAATGGTTGATGGTGGGCAAGGCGAGGGATCGACCTTTGGGACAGCGATGCATGCTGCAGCCGCAGGCCGCAATATCGATATCTCTTTGGCTCTCATAGAGCATGGCGAAAGTGCCAGATGTCGTCGAAACTGTATCTTCAACCGCGGAAGCACCAACGGGGATCTGACACCCATCGAAGTCGCGATAGCTGCAGACCCTTATGGAAGCGATGAGAACCTCCTCGAGTTTCTGGAAGCCTTCATGGCACACGCGAGCGATCTCGAAGATTCGGACTACCAGGCCGTGCTGAGATATTGCGCGCAGAACAATAAGCTTGAAGCAGCCAACCGGCTTCTTGGCAGAGGAATACGTCTCGAAGAAGTACCAACCTCAGTTTCGAGCGTCGATATGGCGAAGCTGCTTGTTTCTCATGGTATCAAGCTTGATCCAGTGGCGTTGCAAGAGAGAGCACTGAAGAGAGGACGGTTAAGCCTTTTGCGCTGGTGTGTTGATGAGTACGGTGCCAAACTACCCGATGATCTCAAGTCGTGGGGAGAGACGGTGACGTGGCTTCTCTGCTCTGGTAATATGTACCGCGAGCAGACGATATACCTCATCACCGAGTACCCCGGTCCACATATCGACACGGTTCTTGTTTCAAGGCGACGTCTTCATCGAGAGAATCTTAAAGCAAAGAAGACAAGTTGGCTTCATACGGCTATTATAAAACATAATTTACCGGTTGTCAAGATGTTGTTGGAAGCCGGGGCTGATGTTAACTGTCCTGGATTACGTGCTGATGCACGTACTGTGGTAAGGAAAGGTGGCCGAGGGTCGTTTCGAGACATCGAGGAGTGGCTGGAGATAGTTACAATGCTGGAGAAGAAGATGTCTGGTAATGAGGGGTGGACTATGCCTTCGTATGGTGAGGTGAGGAAGCGCGTTGTTGAAACTGTGGCACTTGAGAGACGAGCTTGGGATGAGAAGATTGAGAGTATGGTCGAAAGCAGACAGGAGGTTCCTCATGCAACTCCAGAGCGGTCAGATGACCCAGTGCCATCTTCTCCTTTGGGAATTGCCTCCTCGGCAGATTTGTATCAGCCTCTGAGGAGCAGTAGCTCCTTTCGACTTCTTGAACTCCTTCCATCGAGCAACCGGACAGACCCTCTTGTCGGACGCTTGGTAGACAGCGATATCACTTTCCAACCAGACTATGAAGCTTTGTCCTACGTCTGGGGAGACATAACACCACTCAGGTACATCAACCTCGGCGATCAAGAAATCTCAATCACACCAAACCTCCACTCAGCACTCGTCCACCTCCGCTCTCCCAACACCGTCCGCACACTCTGGGTCGACGCCCTGTGTATCAACCAATCCGTCCACGGCGAACGAAACCAACAAGTCCGCATCATGGGCGACATCTACAAGTCAGCGAGTCAAGTCATAGTATGGCTCGGCGACGAAGCCGATGATTCACACCTCGTATTCCAACATATTAACGACGAAAGCATTCCCGACTCCTTCCACAACGGTTCAACACCACCAGAAGAAAAGCGCCGTGCCTGGAACGCGCTTGTCAAAAGACCTTGGTTCTTCCGCACATGGGTCATCCAAGAGATAGCTCTTGCGAAAAGAGCGGTCATGATGTGTGGAGACGAGGCGACAGCGTGGAGGGACATGGAGATCAGTTGGAAAGCAGACTTTTCGAATGGTGCGAAGGGACTGTCGTCTTCACGTGGCGGTGAAGGGGATCATCCGATCAAGGGATTCGATCCGGATAGTCATGTTTGGAGTCTGAGGATGCTGGGGGTTGGTAGTGATCCGATGAGTATTCTGAGGTATAGCCGCGTTTGTCAGACTACTGAGATACGGGACAAGATTTATGGCATCTTGGGTCTGTTTGAACCGGGTTTCATACCTGTTGACTATGATCTGCCCGTGGAAGATATCTTTCGTCAGTTTGCAGAGGCTGTGATCAAACTCACCAAAGATCTCAGCATCCTGGGGGATATCGGCGCAAAGCGCAGTTATCCAAACCTTCCATCTTGGGTACCTGACTTCACGGATACTTCGACCAACAGTCTCGCAGGGGATAACTGGTACGCACCGTATCGCAAAGACGCTGAGGAGAACTACGATGTTCGGTGTGCAGATGGAACGCAGCTTAGTTTTCCCAGGGAACAGCTAGGCAGAGAGTATCTTCCAGGCTTGAAGTTTTCGAAATATGGGAGTTTGACGATCAGGGGCAAGATGGTTGATACGATTCGGGAGGTTGGGCCGGAACTTGAAGATGGTGTTGGCCATGCACCAGGAAGTGAGGGCTTTGCAAGGGTGATGAAAGATTGGGAAAGTCTTGCTGTCAAACTCGTTCCCGAGTGGAAGGATTCTGAATCTTCATTGAGCCAGGCTTTTGCAACGACACTCACGGCAACTCATGGTTCTGAGCTCTTCAGCGTTGGTGTGGGCTTCACCCAGTGGTATCGTCACTGCGGCGCCGGTATTCTCGAGTCAGCAGATGCGTCCATGTTTCTTCGCGACCGCGAGTTCTACCTCTGGTGGTTAAGCGTCGGGAAAGACACAGAAGAAAAGGACCCCGACTCAAGTTCTGAGGAGAAATCAGACGAAGAACCTGAAGCTATTGGGTATGATCTCAGAGAATTCTTCGAAAAGTTCACCTTTGCGAGCTATGGGCGGTGTCTTTTCACTAGTGAGAAGGGGTCTTTGGGACTTGCGAGTCCGAGAGCGAAAGCGGGGGATCGGGTTATTTATTTCCCTGGTTCAACTGAACCGTTTTTGTTGAGGAAGAGGGAGGGAGAGGGATGGTTGTTGGTGAGTGATTGTTACTTGTATGGGCTTGACTTGGATATGTTGTTTCATGATGCGGAGCATTTGGTCGAGAACTTCGAGATCTACTGAGTAGCTAGGCGTCAGCTCGGAGAAGTCGTTTTGAAGTCAAAATCATTTGATGGGGTATCTGAATCTTAACCTGGGGCCTTGCCATGTTTTCGTACGCGTTGTGACTCGTTGCTCTTGTTTGATGTTCAGAACAGCTGCAAATTCTAGTTGGTCGCAACTGAACAAACAGTACCTCTTCAATATCGTTGTCTGTCCTTCAAAGCCAGTCATAATATTGAATCCTCTCTTCTCTAACCCCAAAATGGACTAGGACTTGGGATTGTGTTTGCCAACAGCTCATTCCTGTCACTGGCCCTCCCGTCACGAGACCTGTGTGCCACTGGGAAAGGGATCAGTCCATGCCAGTGTCAGTAGTCTCCAAATCCACTGCCAAAGTCTCTGGCGTTTTTTATCCTATCTCAGCTTTGAACTTCTCGAGAACTCTTCTTTCCTCATCACCTCATCTCAAAAGGTTCTCGCACGAGAAGGTTTCAGCCTGAAGACTTCTTTTTAACGCCCATTTTCTTAACACACAAAGAGACGTCTTCCACCATCCCCTCGTCTCTTGCCTGTACTCTTCAGCCTCAACTCCTCGCCGTTGTCTCCCCCGTCACCCTTTTTACATCTACCAAGCCCGACTTTTGAGCCGTCGTTGCAAGATCTCGATATTAATAGTAAGCAACGAGATTTAACTATTGTCCGTTACTTTCAGAACCTTTCTGATGTCAACATCCTCAGTAGACCAATCTTATCCCAAATCCCTCCCCATCAACCCGCGTCATCTTTCGACAGGCTTTCACAAGTTCAGAGTCAGAGAGCCGTGACAAGCAAGCCACAGATCTTCGCTCTCAGCACACATCAGCGCACAAGATGGCAGGCCCTGAATTTATGGATCTCCCCGCGAAGATTCAGATCAAAATAATCCAGTTGGCGATTCCTCCAATGATCCTACCAGAATATCTCTTCATGGACGGAAAGATTGGGATGAGCAACGAGCGCGACGCAACCCGCGCTATCATGGCGATATGCCACAAATTCCGAAATCTCCTTCTTAGTGCCAGACCTCTTACCGGCCGTAACTCCACTTGTCAAGTATTCACCTTTGACAGTGAACGTGACGCGCTTTTGGTCATGGGTATGGACATGCCAGCTTTCCTCAAAACCCCTCGGACTCCCAGCCTTCGTGCCGTTCGTCGGCTCGTGACCCTTCACCCTTTCCCAATTGGGTGGGCTTCATACACCTACATGCAGAGATTAATTCTACGTTGCCGGCAGCCATGGGCCATCAATGTAACGGATCATCACCCACGCGATACTGCTTATGAGGAGAATCTACCATTCGAAACAAGTTTTCCCATCGCCCAAGAGCTAGGATCTCTTTGTGAGATGGATGTTGTGATTAAGACTGCTCCTGGCTGGTACATCTCCTCATTCCAGCAATATGGCCCCCAGCCGGAACATCGACGTGCTGTCCCAGTATTGTGAGACCTCAACCATCCTGTTCATCATACAGGACTCCGCTGGACTAATCTTCGGTTGGATGGCTACGACGATATTGAAGAGATCCCAATGATTGGCCTACACGGTTACAGCAAGACTCGCCGTGACTGGCGCAGCCAGCGCAGCCAGGAGTTTTCTCAGGGCGGACAATGGGCTGGTTTTCGTGTTTACCTCGAGTCCGAGGAGGTTGAATTCCGACCACTTACTTGGGATGAAGTTGAGCCTATCATCCATCGACAACAGCAGCCTCAAAATGGACGCCAATTTCTGGGTAACCAGGACCCAGAATTCGTGTCCCGAGTTTAGATTATTCGGGACAAGAAGAAGGAGCTTCCTGGTGGTGCTTACGGCTGGGTGAAGGTCAAGGAATACGACGTGCAGACTGATGAAACTTGGGTAAAGCAACTCGCCACCACGTGGAAGATGGTCCGTGCTACCCTTCATCGCCGTGGGACTACACCTCTCCATTTTACTATCGGTCCCCATTGACGGACTGGAGTTTCTCTAGGTGTAAGTGTGAGTCGTACGGTGGGGGGAGGATCGTACCTACAGAGAAGGCGTGGAAAGGACAACGGAAATGAGGACTGCGAGAGTTTGGAGTCGATGGAAAGAATCCACGAAGATTTAAACACTTATCAACAGTGACAGACTTTTGTCCCTGGTAATGAATCACTTCTCTTGACTCGGATTACTCTTTGGGGTGGCTCACAATTTATGGTGCGAGTAGCAACTATAATGGATATGAGAAGATTTGGCCTGAAGCGTTACTTGCATGGACTGTGAGAGAGCGGAGAGACTTGGCACAAGAAGAAGACGTAAGCAAAGAAGAAAGATAAGTATGTAGATCAGTCCATAGTATTGACATTAATGTCTAATCTTATGCCATCTCCTGTAAAGATATTGGTTTTAATACAAGCCAGATTCTCGATTTTAAGCAAGTACATGGTCGATGTCTCAAGGCCTTAAGCCGAGTTGGAGACGGATGTTGTTTTTGCTGTTGCTGTTGTCGACGTTCATAAGCTATTCTGTCCGGCAGCCTAGAAGATCTCGCGCAATAACTCTAGCATGTTATTATTTCCGAGATCTTTCAACATCACCAGGCCATCAACAATCCATCATATGCGCCCAGACCCTGAAGGATATGACGTTTGCTCTCACTGCTCTCATTCCCATCCGTTCTGGCCTATGCACGATGTTCCTGGTAGGACATGGGCTAAGACCAGGTAACACGACACGATCTTTCCCAAACGTTCTTTAACACGGACAAAGTTCGAGAATACCCTTGGATTTTAATTCAGGCCCACATGCACTGATGGAAACGAACCTCAAGGGGGTCGAGAATTACCGGAGCGAGATGACTTTCGGTGCATATAATTCCATACAAGGCCTACTTGAACTTTGGATCAAGGGGCTTAAGCCATCTTAGAAGCGAATGTCGCTGCTGTTGTGTCAAAAGCTGTTCATTTGTAGCGCGACGTCGCTCCTGCTCACGCAGCGATACAACATTACATTTTCCCCAGAGAAGAGGTACTCTATAGAGGCGTTTCACCATACCGTCTCACCTTTTCCCATGGTGTCCTCGAAGCTGCACTGTCTCCCAATACGCCCACCATCGACTTTTTCAAGTCACTGCCTACTATTCAACGAAAAGATCGTCTCTGGGGAATTTGCTTATCGTCAAGTCAGCCCGCTTCCGAACCGCGACGCCAGAGTTGCGATGCCTGCCTATGTATCGATCGAAAAGGCCATTTAAGAGTTCATGGTGTCGCATTTCATCTTTAACAGTGGGCCAAATGACTCCTTCAAAGTCCAACTTTTCTGCTGTTTGGGACCCGTGTCGTGTTGCGTCCAGGATCCAAAGGAGTTCATAATCATGATAGTAAAGAGGTTTATTTGGGATTTACTCGAACCCTGGTGGTGGGTTCCAGGACGACGCGACTTCTGAAACAACCTTTTTCAGCCTCAAATTTGATCACTAATATGTAACTTTGAGTTGATAGACCTGATAGCTGATACTTGCATCACGCGCCTCACACGAATTAGAATTCTCATGGGCTCGTGGAACTCCTTTTCCTCTCGATCACTGGTCTAGTTTGCCTCAAGAGAGTCACTAGAAGGGGTCAGCAAACAACACATATTCTCTCAATCGTTCATAGGAAATCCCATCTTCCATGAATTCCAGTATCCTGTGATCTAGACTAATGCCCAACTGGCTTTTGGGTGGTAACCTGCAAACAGCTACTATTACAAGTCGTACAATAAACATAAGGTAACCGTGCAACTAAAAAGTCCAAACACACAAGAACTGCAACATTCCCAAATTTTAACCCTGACGCCAACATCAGTACCTTTATCTCTCTTCGGCAAATCTCCTTGGCATATAGGTTTTGAGTCAGCCCATAGCTCCTAGCTCAGCCTCTCTTGAGCGTCCGTCCGATGTCAGTGTACCCCAACAGTCAATGCCACCCGGTTTCGTCACCTCTCACGTGGCCATATGATCCTCGGCCCTGGCATTCTCTCAGTTCAGGTCTAGAGTGTAGCCTGCATGCTCGTGTCGGCGAAGCAGAGTATCGCGCACCATCTTCTAAGTGTTGGCGATCTCCTCCACATATGGCTCCTCCTGCTCCCAGGGCTCGTCCACGTCGTTCTTCTTGGGCTCCTTCACATCGATCCAACAATGGTGGGGTTCATCCTTGGGTTCGTCTCCCTCGCGAATCATCCACACACGCGCGATAAACTGTGGATGCCCATTGGGCAGTGACCGACCAGCCGACGGGCCGTCCCCAAGCTGATCGATGATCGGTTCAACTTCATGCCACGCGAGTGGTGAAAATTGAACCTTTTCGGTTCTGGTATGGTATCGGAAGCCAGCCCACTTTCCTCCAAGTGAGCGGGTTCCACGACTATACCCATGCAGCCCAATGAATGGTAGGTCATTAGGTTGAATGAAGGCGCCATACTCACCAACACGCGGATGGAGATCTTCTGGCTCCGAGACAATAGTCGCATGGTGGGCTCTAAAAACTGGGGTTGGGAACTCCCAGGTGATGCCAGTGTCGGCCTGGATGTCCTTGGCCTCAAAATATCGTGCCGCAGCGGCGTTGTAAGACCCAACGCGGTTGAATCCCCAGGTCTCGCCGTTCGGGCGCGGTGCCTCAACATCTGGCCCCTCCATTTGGAAACCGGAGATGTGCCACAATCGGGACATCATGGATACCGAAACGACGGCTTCCTTGAGTAGTGGGAAGCGAGCGAACATAGGAAGGTCGGTCTCGAAAGGCTCGTTCTTCCAGCGAAGAGTGTTCTTGACGGATTGAGATCGGCTGGTTCGGGAGACTGATAAGATTAGCGACTGCCATCAAACGTTTTGAGAATACTTACCATATCCTAGGGGGTCCTGAGACTGGGGCTGCATGGGATAGTGGTTGGAAACGATCAGGCGACGAATGGGAAGCGCATCGTCATCCACCTCAAAATTAGCCGCCTTCATGGATCGAATCCAGGAACTGTTGGGAAGTGGCTTTGGTATGGCCATCCAGAACACCACGAGATCGTCCTGGATAGGATTCATCGTGAACTTGATTTCCCCATCAGCGATTGCGATGGCCTTGATGTAGTGGATCGCATCAACTACTTCCTCGAAACCCTTGGACACACGCTTGAAGTTTCCTACGGTGGCGTAAGCTGCCTGAGGGTGGACCCCGTAGTTCATGGGGTTGCACATGGGAGGGATCAGGTAACCCAGGATCGCCACCTTAACCTCCATAGGGAGTTTGTCAAAGGGAGATGACATCTGATAGAGTCAGTATGAGATATAAAACGGGGAAGAATAGGGTGTTAACTGATAAAGAATGATGGCTTACCGTAATGGTGTCTTTCATGTTGATGTAGATCCAAGGTCGAAGGATAGACAAAGATTTTGTTTGAGAATATTTCGCCGTAGGGTCCTGAGACGAGAAGATATGAGAAAGGTAGCGGGGTTTGTGATAATTTTGTGTCAAACGTTTGGCGCGCTGTTGAAGATGTTGTGTTTTCAGTCAACTCTGGGGGATATGGTTGGCTTTCAGATTGTGGTGATCAATGCGATGTTGATACCTGCTCTCCACAGTCTGGAGCAATGTGGGGTGTGGTAGGAGTGTTCAGATTAAATATTAGATGCTGCGTAAAGCAAGAGAGTTGTTGATGGTTGGTACTCTGAGGGACTTTTTCCTTCTCGAGTTAAGGAAATTGATGGACAGTTGTCGTGATGCCAACAGCTGACGTCTTTGATAGAGTATGATAGAAGTCTTCAACGTTGTGCTGTGGTGGATAAGAAACATGCGCAATCGCTACGGTCGAAGAGGATGGATGAAAGTGTCGGTTGAGATGATAATTCTTAGGCCTGTGATATGTGAGAACTCTCAGGGGTGAGTTGTACAGAATAGTCTACGACTTGTGATGATAGAAGAGTAAAGAGTTAAGTTGTTGATGGAAGGAAAATGTAAGGTTTTGTGAGATATGTTTGGGATGATGTTGGTGTATGAAGAAGGAAGAAGAAAGAGTTGATCGGAAGCGCAGCGTGAGGTAAGAGATCAAAAAGGGAACGCGGGCATGCCACTGGCAGTGCTCGACAGTTTATTTTCCTGGTCGGTGCGCGAGACTGCTAGTGGCAGTAGACAGAGGGCAAAGCTGCGGGTGCTGCCTGGGCTGCTAGTCAGTCTCATGCCGTTTGATTCGTTTTGATGATGAATCATCCCCTATCGAAGATGCAGCACTTGCTTCTGAGAGCAGGTTCAATGCAGCTTATGACAGTGAGGAGGGACCTTGGTGCCGTTCACTTGTAGTAACAAGTTCCGTAAAGCTTCTCGCCGGACACCTCAGATAAATATTGAGGCTCGAACCGGAGTCGGGGACATTACCATGAGCATCCTGGGGAAGAACATGCGACATATCATCTCATACTTTGGTCGTTGGATAGGTAGTCTCAGACATGGCACGAATGACGAACCTGATCAATCTTGTAAATTTCCAACATGCGATAAGAAGACCTATGAAGCTGGCATCCCTCTCACGTCCAAGTTGGCCCGATGCATCTTTTAGTACTTATCCAGTTGCCTATAAACTACCATGTCGCGATTTTTACGTCCTTGGTCCCAACGGGTCACCATCCGACAGAACGTCAGCACAGCAACTAAACAGTCGAGGCATGACTTCTATCACTGGCTTGCTAGCGCAGTCACTCTTGATTGAACACCATGGGTGAGTTGATCAAGAACATAGAAAGCCCTGATGGTTGTTTCTCGAGCTACTGCCAATCCCGAGTTCGA